CATCCACATAGTTATTAACTACCAACTTCCAAAGAGAAGATCCCCTTGATTTATTTATATCATGAAAATACTAAAAATTAATTCTCAAGTCTAACTATTACATTATCTTGCTAGGGCCATTTCCCTAAATTTTTAATTCAGAAAATTAACCAGAGTTGGCCAGATGCAGTGGTTCACGCCTGTAATCCCAGCACTTTGGGAGGCCAAGGCGGATGGATCACTTGAGGTCAGAGTTCGAGACCAGCCTGGCCAACAGAGGAAGAAAGAAAGAGTGAAAACAGAAGAAGAGTGAAACCCTGTCTTTACTAAAAATACAAAAATTAGTTGGGCATGGTGGTGCACACCTGTAATTCCAGCTACTTGGGAGGCTGAGGCAGGGGAATCCCTTGAACCCGGGAGGCAGAGGTTGCAGTGAGCCGAGATTGCACCGCTGCACCTGGGGGATGGAGTGAGACTACCATTAAAGAAGGAAATTTGCTTTAAACAAACAGAAAAAAACAAAGGTGCTCATCTATTTCTTCTGAATTCTCTCTACAATCCTTAACTTAAAAGGAAAACCAGCACTCTAGAGAAGAAACTGAGCCTTAAAAGAGAACAGTCCCCATTCCAGCTACCAGTCTTGCTTTCCCCCATCTTGGCAAGCCCCAGTGAATTTGCTATTGAAAGATTACCCATCCCTTTGCCCTCATTTCCCTGAGCTGGAGGCCAGGCTGTTGTTAACGTTTTTTCAATTCTAAAGCCCCTGATGGGACATTCTTGTTTCTGTGGTACTGCTTTCTCTCTCTTAAATTAAGGTGCAAGGGGATAAATATTACTGTGACTGAGATGTAAGGCTCAGTCAATGTGGCTAGCCCCTTCCTTCGGGGGAAATATTCCATCTGTCTGAACGGTTTTAGGTGATCATGAGGAGAGCGGCTTAGCAGACAGCCAGCCACGCTCATCACAAAAGATTTGTTCAGACTCACTGTAAAGAATGACAAGGCAGATAGCTAATCCTTTCACTGTGCCTCAAAGCCTGCTGTGCAAGTCAGCAACCCTACTGGTCCTTTCCACATGCGAGGCTAATAGAGTGATCAGAACCAGGAATGTGAGCTGGGTTCCACTTTAGGAGGGGACAGTGAGGGCAGAGCAAGAGGGCTCCATGTTTAATTACTCCAGGCTCTGACTTCTGCCCACAATTACAGAGCATGAAAGCAGAATTGGCCTTTAGTATGTGAAAAGGAAGTGGCTCCTGCAGGGTATAATTGTTATAATTTCGTATTTATGGAAAGAGAAGAGGACTCCAGTCCACTCATGTTGTTAAGCACTTGCCCCTCACTCCACTGGAGCCCCCTTCCTATGTTTTGGGCACAGATGGCTGTGACTGAGAGGAAAGAGGAAGAGCGGCTGCCAGAGTGTGAATATACCCCTCAGGGATCTACAGTGGAGTTTAATGATAAGCTACCCATACTCTCCCAAAAAAGGTTGAGGGGCAATGCATAACTTTGCAGATTACAACCCTTGTTTTACTTTTTAAACCTTTTTTCCATATTCTTCTTATTGGAAATCAATGGCTGTGATGTGACCAACACCTGTGATGATAGCAAAGCCCCTCCTTTCACTGTCGGCCGACTGTTCGGGGAACCTCCTTGGTCATTGGTAGAAAGCTTTAGAAAAGACTTAGCTTTTTAGGGAAGAACTAAAAAATCTCCAAAACATACTAGTCCCATGACTTCGATAACTGAAAATGTCCTGGGTGTAAATTAACCCAGGAATATGGATCATACATGTTTAAAAAAAAAAAAAATTCCCTGAATCAATATTTTCCTACAACACACCCTAAAATTCCTATTTTTGTAATTAATGGTTGGACAGTGATCAGCCATTTAAACATAGGCTCTCTGGAATAACCAGACACTAGAATAGTTTCCAAAGTGTTTTGTGTATCAAAATCCTATATACTTAGAAGAAGAACTCAGGATAAGAAAAAATCGCTAGGTCCCAAAGGGTTCATGACTATCATCAGATGCAACTGCGAGTGACCTACGGTCATTTTATCAAATGAGAAGACTGGAGAGAGAACAACAGTAATCACAAAACCTCTGTTGCCCTTAGTCCATGACAATGTTTAAGGAAACTTTTAAAAATTAAGCCATCTTCTGAATTTTCTACACTAAATCTAAAATATTAAAATGAAATTATTAAATATTTAAAACGGGGTATTTAGTGGAAATGCAATCAGTAGAAAGCATTGCTTTTTAGTGCCTGCTAAACAAGTAAAGGAGAAGGAATGAAGAGAAAACAGCAGTCCTTCCTGCGTGACACTCGTGTGAAAATGACTGGCATTCACATGTCATTGAGTGCTAACTCAAAAGCTAGGTGGCTGTCCAATGTTTAGAGATCTTTTGAAATACAATCTTACCACCATTCAGAGGTAAGTACTTGCTTAACAAAAGTCTTTAATATTAGTGAATGAATGTATAAAATTATAAACTATGCATTTTCAAAGAGTAGCATGTATTTTGTATCGAATCCAAGTAAATTTTTGCATAGCTACCTACCACAATTGCAAATTATTCAAAATAAACTTGGATACATATCCTTATGGGGATATGGGAAGCCCATCTATATTCTCCTACTTGATGTTTTTAAAGATTGAAACTTTACTCTGAAACATCAGGCTCTAAAAAATTCCATCATTAAGATGAATAAATGGGAGATGGTTTATTTTTTACTCCTTAAGCATCAATGGGAAATGTTGGCTGTTAGAAAATGTGCCCAGTTGTTTAAAAGTTCTAGTAACACTGGATTAACAAGCAAATGAAACTGCATGAAGTGAACGAATATTTCATTGGATAAAAATGGCATAGGTTTTATCTGTTGGGTTTAATTCTCAATCCCAGAAAAAAAATATTCTTCAAGGGGTTTCGGTTATAGTTTCAAAGAACAAAATATGAAAATATTGTCCAGCAAGGCAAATCATATCTTTTTTCAAAATTACTTATATTTTAGAAAGTCTACATAGAATATACACAAATTTCTTCAGCCCTTTTGTTGATTTCATATTTTCATGAAACCTTTTCCCCTAATAATTTGCCTTCTCTCTTTAATCAGTGCTTTACTACATTCCTCAGCATGAAAAAATATCTTTTCCTTCATCTGACAATGTGGAAATAACTCCATCTCTCTGCCATTCTGGTTCTCTTCAGTGTCCATTGAGAAAGTTTCTCAACTGTTTGTAAAATACGGGGACGGGGGGAAAACACACACACACATTTCTAAACCTGTACTTAAGGTTATACTGGATTGTTTGCTACCTAATTAGAAGTTATTGGGGGAGGGGCAATGTGTCTTTTTATATGATTTTTAGCCAAATCCAGATGTTCTGATACACATTTCTGAATACCTATCTGACTGTAAATACAGCCTGTGGAGGTTCAGGTTGATAAACCTTTTACCTGACTGTTCCTCAGCCATGCTCCTTGCCAGCTTCTGGCACATTGTACATAGATTTGTTGAATGTTTAAATCATTTGTTTTTCTAAATGCTATTCTCTAAAACAATTTTTTGAATTTCTGTTGCTTTCCATTGTTTTGGACTTCGTGTGTTTGTTTAAAAAAAATGTTTCCTAAATATTTAACACCAGGAAAAATATTTTTAAATAAACTGGTGCTAATTGAAACAGAAGGAAATTTTCAGATCGAAGATGTACAATGTTCAATGTTCACACCAGTTAAACTGCACTTTCCCAAGGGGACAGCTGGCATCTACTTGAAATGGGCATCAAGAGACCACCAAATGTTTACAGTTTCTGTGGCCCATTTAAGTGTAAAATGCAGAAGTGGCTCTGTCCCCCCAGAGTTGAGGATTTGCTACACTGGTCCTCTGGAAGCATTTAAGTAGAAGAAAAGGCTTATAGTAAGAATCACTTTAGTAATCGTCTTCTGGTCCTTGGACTTTTCTGTTCTGTAATGCTTGTAACAATGAATATGGTGTTGCCAATCTAGTCTGATATCATCGTTGACCTGTACTTACTTTGTGGATGGTTCTACCTGGGGTTGCACTGGCACAGAGCCAGAACACTGGACTTTCAAAAGACCATTTTGACTTCTACAGTGTCTACACACATGAATTTAAATGCACTTGTAACTGGTTAATTACCATGAAGTAAGTCTAACTTCCACTTAATAAAAGTTTTTGTGTATCTGCTTCTATCTGGAAACCATTTATTTAATTAAGGATAACTAATGTATACCAAGAAAGGCTCACTGGGGCTTGGGGTTTTACCTAGAGTTGTAAAAATAGTTCAAAACCAAGGAGATGTCTTCATGATCAAGGCCATTTTTAGAAACGTGGAAGGCATGTGTCCTCATGTTCAGCCCTGCTAATGACAATTTCAACCCATTCCCTTAGCAAGCCTTAGCAATGATTGTCCAGATATGTTAGCTGCTGACCTTGTGCTGCTGACTTTTGTCCCAAACAAGTAGACAACGTGGCAAACAGAGGGAAAATAATACCTATTTTGAAGCTAAGCCAGCCTGGAATTGTCATCTTCAGGCCTTGGGCTCCTGAAAGTGGGTTTCTGCAAAGCTGACTTTCAGTGCCCACATTTGCCGTGGAGGAGGGATGGGCAGAGCAGCCTCCACATACTGTGCTCAGACTGCAAGTGCGCCCCTCCCCAGCCCTCTGCTCCCAGGGTCCCAGAGGCTCTCCGGGTCTCAGTGACCGGGACACGGCAGAACCCTCAGGGGCAGGGCAGCAGAAAAAGATACTGAGAATCTGGGCCTTCGATGTTGTCCTGCAAAGTTGTGTGGATAGCATACATTTGCAAAACAAGTTTTTACTAAATCCTATACAAAGGGATGCTGCAGCAAACAGCTGAGGAGGTAATGATTTTTTTTAGTGTAAAAATGCAAGCTACCTTCCCCTCAAAAAATACCCTGCAAGAACTTACATTTCCTAAGGGTGAAGACCATGTCCTGTGTGTTCTACCCACTTTGTGTCATACTCTACCAGGCATATAATAGATGATCGATACATTTTTTAATGAATGGATGAACAAATTGTTCAGACAGCATTTCTTCCGGCTTCAGATGTGCTTTCTGCCTTCAACCTGCCAGTGCTGGAACAAAGCAGAGGAAATAAGGAAACATTTTAAAGACTGGCATAGACATTTATTTGGAAAGCCACATTTTTAAAGTTTCTTTAGAATATGTACATTCTCAAAATGGCCAACTCCAAATGACTATATTGATTATATAATAATTAGCCAATACAGGACAAAGTGTGCAATCACATGGTTACTGTTTCATGTAGAAATGCCTTGCACATAGCAATTCAATAAATAAGTGAACAAAAATGAATGCTTCTAAAGGAAATAAATTACAACATAGGCCTGTGCTCTTACAAGCAAGCAGAGTAAATGGAATGAGACTATTAGGATCTGTGTCAGTAACACAGGAGAGAGAATCCAGGCTGGCATTAAGGCATAATAGACACTATTTTAGGAGAAGGATCTGGGTATGATAGTCATCGTTTATTTGTTTGTATCTGTGTAATATATGCACACAGTTACAAAAAAATCAGGGTAGTAAAAAGCTTACAGTGAAAGCAGGTCCCTGCTGCTGTCCCTTTTCACCCCTTCATTATGCTCCCAGAAACAGCCACGTTTGACTTCTTTAACTGTTTCTTCTGGGACTTGATTCCATTTATATCTTTTTATTTAATTATATGCAAGTATGCCTGACAAGCTCCAGCCAGCTCCAGCCAAGGCATCTATGGTATCAAGAGCAAGAGGGACAGAGCACAGCACAAGGCTGGAGAGTGTTGCACAGGGACTGGCCAAGTGCCTGGCACAGGGAAGTTCCCTGTGTTACCAGGGGCGCCCCCTGCGCACGGTTGAGACCTAATGCTCTGAACAACACAGGCATCTCCCTGCGCATTAGGACGCTGGCCTGTGGGCTGATCCATGAGTTTCTCACAAGTTTGTTGGTTGTGAATCAATTCTCCAAAGCACAGTAAGCCTGGGTAACCTGAAAACAATCAAGTGTGCTCACCTCCAAATTAAACCTGCAAACTAGCCTCAGACCCCAGGCCAAAGCCTTCAGTCAGCCAGCTGGCTAGCAGGTCGCTCACAATCTCTTTTAATATCATCTGCACAGCAATTCCTAGTTTTTGATACATTCCTTCCTTTAGCTGATTTCACTGTAATGCCCAGATCATCCCAGAAAAACAATTCATGTCAGATGTTGCAGAATGGCTCAGCTAGCTCTGCTAAAGGAAAATTGCTCACTGTTCACCTTGTGGCTACAGCCAGAGGTGCTGGAAACCAGCTGCACCCATGCATTTTATGTGCTTGGCTGCAAGTAATAATCCCACTCAAACTCGACCAAGCAAACACAAGTGGGAATTTACTGAAAGGACACATGGTGTCTTCTGTGGGACCCCTGGTCAGATGATGTTGTCAGGCCACATAGAGGCCTGGAATCAGGAGTGAGAAAGGATTTGGGAAATAGGCAGCCACACTGCCCTTCCAGTCCCATCCTGTCATCCAGTCTCCAGGGGCAGCAGGATCAAGACTCCTCTCTTCTCTAGGGTCTCTTCCCTCCTCACCCTACATAGCTGCCTTTTCTGCTCTTCCAGCACGTGGTAGAAAATGGCCAGCAGAGGCCTACATGACCTCCCAATGCATGCAGTCAAGAGGGGACTAGAATTTTGGAGCACCAATTCCAAACTCGAGAGAATTTGATTGGCCTAATAAGGGAGAGCCATCTTCCCCTGCTCCAACCAACTGGGAGGGGTGAGAGTGTACTGTTCGGGCCCACATGGAAGTTTCTCTAATAATTATGTTTGCACCAACCTAATAATAAAGTGTGGGTGGAGGTGGGCAGATCACTTGAGCCCAAGAGTTTGAGACCAGCCTGGGCAACATGGGGAGACCCCATCTCTACAAAAGATAAAAATATTAGCCGGGCATGAGAGCACGTGTCTGTAGTCCCAGCTACTCAGGAGGCTGAGATGGGAGGATCACTTGAGCCAGGAAGATTGAGGCTGCAGTGAGCTGTTTGTGCCACTGCACTTCAGAATGGACAACAGAGCAAGACATTGCCTCAAAAAAAAAAAAAACAAAAAAAAACGGTGTGAGGTTAGGAAGGAAATGATTGGTGGAAGAAATAATTTTACCATTTCTAGTACAGGATACAAAACCCATTTTTCTTGCTAATAAATACAGTCATGGGTTATTACACCCAGGAGGGATTTGAAAGATCATCTAATTTAACTCCCTTGGTTCACAGAGGAGATTCATGACCATGAATATCATTTGACATTTTAGTATTGTTTGATGTCAGTTTGTTTTCATAAAGTTCCATTGTTTACTTGTTTTCTGAAAGATAAGGTTATCTATTATCTAGGCCATTGAAAACCACCTATGAAAAAATTATTTTTAAAGTTATAAAAGGGGCCAAGTGTGATGGCCCACGCCTGTAATCCCAGCACTTTGAGAAGCCAAGATGGGCAGATCACCTGAGGTCAGGAGTTGGAGACCAGCCTGGGAAACATGGCAAAACCCCATCTCTACCAAAAACACAAAAAATTAGCCAGGTGTGGTGGTGAGCGCCTGTGGTCACAGCTACTGGGTGGCAGAGGCGGCAGTGAGCCGAGATTCTACCACCACACTCCAGCCTGGGTTACAGCGTAAGACCCTACCTCAAAAATAAAGTTAAAAAAGGGTTGCTTATTATCTTAAACATAGCCTCACTGAGCACAGAGGGTAGGAAAACTGGAGCCATACCACCTGAATTCAAATCCCAGCTTCACCATTTACTAACTGTGTGACCGTGGAGAAATTACGTAACCTCTGTGTGCCTCAATTTCCTGCAGCATAAAATATGGATAATAATGTGACCTGTCTCATATGAGTATCGGGAGTTATAAATGAGTTAATATGTGTAACGTGTTTAGTATGTTGCCTGGCACATATTGAGAGCCATGAAAGTATTTTTTTGGCTCCCCCAAAGTATTTCTCTGAGTAATCAACAGTCTCTAGGCCGGGCACGGTGGCTCAAGCCTGTAATCCCAGCACTTTGGGAGGCCGAGACGGGCGGATCACGAGGTCAGGAGATCGAGACCATCCTGGCTAACACAGTGAAACCCCGTCTCTACTAAAAATACAAAAACTTAGCCGGGCGAGGTGGCGGGCGCCTGTAGTCCCAGCTACTCGGGAGGCTGAGGCAGGAGAATGGCGTGAACCCGGGAGGCGGAGCTTGCAGTGAGCTGAGATCCGGCCACTGCACTCCAGCCTGGGCGACAGAGCGAGACTCCGTCTCAAAAAAAAAAAAAAAAAAAAAACAGTCTCAAAAAAGCATCTTGAACCATTATAGCAGAAGCCGTCAGTTAGCTGTAGTAAGCTAAAAGTACATTTTTATTTCTAACAAAGATTATTTTCTAATGTTTCAAGTTAACTCTGTACTATAGAAGTACAGAAAAGTAGAAAGAGTATCAGATAACTACCACCCTCACAAATAAGCACTGGTAGATTGATACATTTTTCTCAAGCTATTTCCATGCATATTTATTTGCATAGTTGTGATCACACTGTATATATAATTCAGCATGTTGCCTTTAGTCACTTAACATTATAGCATATGCAACTCCCCCATCATTAAATATTTTCAAATGCCTTCATTTCAATAGCTGTGTAATAGTACCACATGTAGATATACACTGATTTCCTTAAATATTCTCCTATTTGGAAAATGTATGTTGTTTCCAATTTTATACTCTTTTAAACTTTTACTACAGTTGCCAGATTACTATCCAAATGATTTGGCTCAATTTACTCTCCCAGCGGCAAAGTGAATGAGTGTCTTTCTGTAGGCTCATCTGCAAGGAGTATTATCATATTTTAAAATCTGTCCTAAGTTGATAGATATTAAAAAGCATGTCATCCTTGTTTTAATTTTTCCTTCCTTCCTTTTTCCCTTCCTTCCTTCCTTCTTTCTTCCTTCCTCCTTCCCTGCCTCCCTCCCGCTTTCTCTTTCTCTTTTTCTCTTTTTTTTTTTCTCTCTCTCTCCTTTCTCTTTCTTTTCTTTCGACAGAATCTAGCTCTGTTGCTTAGACTGGAGTGCAGTGGCACAGTCATAGCTCCCTGCAAACTTAAACTCCTAGGCTCAAATGATCTTCTTGCCTCCGCCTTCCGCAGCCAGACTACAGGTGCGTGCCACTGCAACCAGCTATGGTTTTTATGTTTCTGTAGGGATGGGGGTCTTACTGTGTTACCCAGGCTGGTCTCAAAATCTTGGTCTCAAGCAATCCTCCTGCTTCGGCCTCCCAAAGTGCTGGGATTACAGGTGTGAGCCATCATGACCAGTCAATTTGTAGTTCTTAAATAAAAGCTAATTATGTTAAACAGTTTTCTCTGTCAGACATTTACAATTTATATTTACAATTTGTCAGTTCACATCCTTTGCCTATTTATCTTTTGGGAGCTTAACCCTTCCTTATGTATTAGTAGGAGTTCTTTCTATTGTTAGAATTTAAACTTCTGTCTTATTTGCTATAATTGTTTTTGCAATGTACGTGCATTTTAAATTCAGGTATGACACATTTTTGCTTGCACATTTTAAAATCTTTGTATCATTAAATCTGTCAGTGGTTTGCTTTAAAATTTCACAGCCCACCCACAGCTTAGACAGGCCTCTCACATTTCAGGTGTCAAATAATATTTCCCTTATATTTTCTTTGCCTTTTATTTATACTAATTTTTTCTTAACTATCTAGAATATTTTGCTATAAGGTAAAGCTCAAAATGTTTTTGTTTTTTTTTGTTGTTGTTTTTGTTTTTGTTTTTTTGACACAGTCTCACTCTATAGCCCAGGCTGGAGTGCAATAATGCCATCTCGGCTCACTGCAACCTCCACCTCGCAGGTTCAAGCGATTGTACTGCCTCAGCCTCCTGAGTAGCTGGGACTACCAGCTACTACAGGTGCGCGCCACCACGCCCGGTTTTGTATTTTTAGTAGAGACAGAGTTTTACCATGTTGACCAGGTTGATCTCAAACTCCTGACCTCAGGTGACCCACCCGCCTCGGCCTCCCAAAGTGCTGGGATTACAGTCGTGAG